TCGGGAAAATTGTTCTCATTTCCCAATGATCCATAGTAGGAAAATCTAAATCGGAACGATATCACACTGGAACATAACGAACTAATTGTAAGCTGTAACTTACCTCATGCACGTTTTGTATTGGCTCGTGTAGAAATAGCGATCGCTCTTTTCGCCATTAACAGCGAATTTCCCGGAATCATAGCGTAGACCGCAGAGATAACCTAAAAGGTAACTCTGAGCAAACTTTGAGGAGCTTATCTATGTTAAGTGAGAAATTCTTTCTTGGTGTAGGGCAACAGAATCCGCTGTTGCATTGATATCCATTTTGGCATCCCTGTCCATTGCTGCATTGTTGTGGAGTTAGATGATCCGTATCGTATTGTGCTTGACATGCAGCTAAAAAATAGAGAAGTTCAATCAAAAAGCAAACAAATGAAGTGAAGGAGTTCCACAGGAATCGCACATTTCATGGCTGCGTGGAGGTCAGAACTGGGATCTCTTTGTTGTGCATTAGCTCCATTGCCATCTATGCATATCTGCTTGCATTCAGCGGCGGTATCAAAGCGATTTCCATTACCATTACAACCATTGTACATAAATGGTTGGCAAACTTCTAAAAATATTCCTTCAAAGGTAAAGTTGTTCTACAAACAAAGCGAGCATAAGCTTTTTAAGTAGAAGTTAAATTCTTATTTAGGTATTCTATAGTCGAAAGCAAAATTATGGGAAAAACGTTAACGTTTAGCTCTTCTCAATAGCCCAAATTTCAGCTTAAAGTAATCTTAAGCTTTTAATTTTTTTGATTAGGTGGGTATATAGCGTATGCAGCGTCGAACTCGTAAGTGAAAATTACCAGATATGAGAGTTTCTACAAGATTCAAGAAAAATTCATAAAACTCAAGGGAGAAACAATCACAACCACATCCTCCTACCACTGGGAAATCTATGAGTGGAGAATTATCCTGATCATAAAAATGCTCTAAATTTCAACGGCTCCTTGTATTTTTTTCTAACTGCAAATGGCGCATTATAAACATATTTTAATAAATAAATCAAAACCAACTTTGAGCTGAATCGTAGTAGAACATTTGTCTTTGTTGGGCACCGGAACAGAAATCTCCTCTCAATCTGGGAGCGGTGCAATCCTT